TTTAATGAAGTACTTTTAAGAAAGGATAAAAAGACATAAAATTATAAGGTTCACACTTGATGTGTCATCAATAATTTTTTATCATCAGTCATGAATCTTGATGCATGTTGAATGATAAAGATTCCAAATTCATATTCACGATCATTCAAGCCAAATTTTAACAAGTTTATAATCGCAACTCGATAAGATGAACACAATGATGTCAAAAGAGATCTCATCCAAGTCTAAAAAAAATAGATCTAACAATTGATATATTGCAAAAAAATTTTAGTGCAAGAATTGGAAGGCTAAATAATCTCCAAATTTGACATGCTTCTAGTAAAATAGAGCGACTTAATGAGAGGAATCTAACATGCACAAAATCATCTAATTTCGAGATCATTAGGACATGTAAATGTTAAAAAACTACCAGTGATCAAGAAAATCAATGTGGACGGTCTGATAATGTTTTGAGATTCATACTATTTACTGGATTGCTTACACAAAAATTATAAATAGGTCCGCATTCTTTACTTAAATGGGAAGGAGGAGAAAAGAGTGGCCAAGTACTAAAACTATCCTTGAAGTCTCGACAGTTATCATCGGTCACTCGAGACCACGACCAATTACAAAAGTTTGCCGCCAACATCTAAAGCTCGTCTTCGACCATCATCAATACTTCTTGCAACCAACTTGGATGTTATAGCCACCAATTATGAATTTTGTAGCTAATCACTACAATTGTAGCCACAAACTATGTTTCATGGAGCCAAATATAATTATTGTAGCCAGACTACAATTATAAATTAGTTATGGCCATAAGTTTTCGTAGCCACATCTTCCCTAATTCAGGAGAAGAATGAACTTCTACGCTTTTAATTTTTAGTGGATTACTTTGGCTGTGTCAGCCCCCTCGACTTCTTTCTAGAGTTTTTCCAAGTAAAAAATCAAATGTCTCTTACATATCAATGTTTGTGTGCTGTAAAATTATACTGAATATCAAAATTCACGATGATGTTTGCAGTAAAAATAGCTCATTTCAACTGTTAGGTTGACAAGAAAAATTCAAAGGAGTTTTAGATATGATAGAATTTGACACCAATTTCTACGACAGTTGATGGGAGAGCATTACTCATCTTTAGAGAAAATGTTAGCTTAACTGTCCTATCCTAATATTTCATAAAAGGCTCTTTGCAATAAGAGTTTAACCTAACTTGAAGTGTGTTCTCTTTTCATACCAAGCTTAAAAGCCCTCGTACATGTACGCAAATTAATAATTTTTCCTTGGGTGAGATATTCAACCTCAAAAGAAAAATAATCGTTTCACTTGAAACAAATGAAGTATAATAAAAATCACCAAGTATTTTATGTACTGACGACGTGCTGTCATTTTATCTTTTTGGGGCTTCCACATACAAAACACCCAAAACTTCACACTTCAACTTTCATAATTACAAATATCATATGAAAAGTAACACTCGTTATCATACTTTAATAGTCAAATTCATCTTTTCATCCATAAATAAAATGCTTATGTGTATAAAAATGAAAGTTTACGTGTGAGACAACTAAATCCATAAGAATTAGGTGATTTGTACGCAACTTTCCCTATTTTTAAAACCCATTTACATGCATACCATACAATTCTTATGTATTTACCGATGTCACATCCAAACATTCATATTCACACACAATACTCAAAATCTTAATAACACATATTAAATAATCAATTTTCATGAATAGATTTTAAAACACTAAAGTGCCACTTAATGTAAATATAAAGGTAGTTATGAGACATGTCAACACACAAGAAGTATGTGATAGGAATGCAAATTTCATATCAATTTCTCCATAAATAACTAATCTTAATCTACTTAACAATTATAACGTTATTATATGATCCAATGTCCCTCCTTCTAGCACAAAACCATCACATTATTGCCTCCATGTTACATATCTCAGTATTCATCATCGTCCAAAAGCTGCACAAGGAAAGATAAACTATACATATATATATATATATATAAGCAGTCTGCACAAGGACGGACTGAACTTACTGCCGCCCGTGACTCTCCTCTCTCCCACCTTCGCTTAAACATAGACTAAGTAAAAAATAAAAAGGCAAATAAGCTTTCAGAATTAGTACCAGCTCTGAAAATGAGATCTCAGAAAACATACTAATAGGTACTGTTAAGTCCAATAATGGTAGGAGATGAAGGGACTGCCATCACGAGCTCTTTGGGAGTTTCCGGCACGCACGTGAATCCTACTTGTCTTCTCTCTCTCTCTCTCTCTCTCTCTCTCTCTCTCTCTCTCTCTCTCTCTCTCTCTCTCTCTCTCTCTCTCTCTCTCTCTCTCTCTCTCTCTCTCTCTCTCTCTCTCTCTCTATAGCTTGCCATCATACCTCTCCATTCAACTTAGAAACTTTCTGCTCGAGGAGATCTCTACATGCAGACTCCCATAATATACCACCACATATGCTTTATCGTGCATATTATTTTGTGTTATTAAAGTGAAACCGTGGTGATTGTTTTAAGGTTATTGAAGAGAAACTTATATATTTCAGTTCAATAATTCTGAAATAACACTAAAATAATTTCGAAATATTTTTTGCGATTCCACTTGAATAACCCTGAATTACCACCGTGGAGGTTATTTATGGATTATTTTGGGATTATTGAAGTGAAATATATGAGTTTCTCTTCAATAACTCTGAAATAACCCATAAATAACTTATACAGTGTTATTTCAGGGTTATTGAAGTGGAACCATAAAAGTTATTTCAGGATTATTTTAGGGTTATTTTGAGTTATTGTGGAGTCTGCGGTTCCACTATAATATTTTTTTAGATGGGCTTGATATAGCACAAACATATGCAGATTTGTATTGTAAAGAATAATATCATAATACTATCCTAATACCACCAAATTCACATATATCCTATCCAAATGTTATATGATGGAAAAATAAAATAATGAAAAAAAAATGATGGTTGACTTTCTGACTTGACATAAGAAACAATTAGATGTAATATGATTGTTTGTGATAATTAAATTTTTGTTTGTATTTCTCTGTCAATGCTAATATATATATTTTAAATATATATATATATATATATATATATATTCATCATGGAGAAAGATAAGGTCGACTTAATTTTGAAGCAATGTTAGATACAAAAAAAGCTTTATTAATATATCACATAATTTTTATGAACTTATATATTTAATATCTAGATCTTAATATTCATTCATAATATTTTTATATTAAATATCACATCAAAATAGCATTAATATTAACATTTTATCAACATAATCTTATATATGCATATAATTTTGTTATTTTCTATAATTTTAAATCTTCTCATTAAAACTTTTTGCGGGATTTCTTGTCCCAAAAATTTTTTCTATCATTTAAGCACTTACATCATGTGAAATTTTTAAAAGGAGCTCCATTAATTATTATTATTATTATTATTTATTTATAATAAATAGCATATAAGCCCTCCTCGCCTATAAAAGCCACCTCCCCCATTGGTCTTGTCGCACCCTTTCGATCCTCTTGCCATCGAAAAAATATTACATCCAAAGTTAGGACGTAAAGCTGTGTCTGAACTCCAATTAAATCTTGCCTCCTATATGCGACAGGCTCCATTGAATAAAAAAAATAAAAACCTATGTATTTTAATGCATGACCAGGTCCGACCTGGCTTTATTTAAGTGGTATTGTGGTGGTTTCTGTATATTTTCATTTTGGGCATTTACACACATACCACCCAATTCTTGTATTTACAGTCTACTATATTTTAATTTTTACTTTTATACCACCAAAAATTTTGATATCAGATAAGAAATGCCATCATTTTAATTTTTAAAAATTGAAAATAGACTACTTCATCCATGGGGTCAATGCCGTGTATGAAAAAAATTGATGTTTAGGGTTAGATACGTAAATAGATAAGAATTGAATGGTAAATAGATAAGAATTGAATGGTATGTATGCAAACCTTTCTTTTATTTTTTGATAACTAGCCTCAATATCACTCAAATAACACAATAATAAAATCTCAATAATATCTCAATAATACCACAATATCACAACAATAACATAATAATAACACTTATAAAACAACAATCGAATACCATCGCAACCACCACAATACACCTTAAATAACATCATAAAAATACTGCAATAAGATCATAATAATACCACAATAATATGCCGCAAAAACACCACAATAACACCGTAGGTTAGAAATTTTTCGTTCACCTATACTTTAATTTTTACATTTATACCACCAAAAAATTTGATATCACACAAACACATATCATCAATTTAACTTTTAAAAATTGAAAAAAGACTTTTTCATCCAACAATGGCGTGTATGAAAGAATTGATGTTTACGGGTTAGATATGTAAGTACATAAGAATTGAGTGATATTTATGTATTTCTAGTGACAATAATACCACAATAACATCGTAATAACACCCGCAAATTTACCCGAATAACACCGTCGTCGATAACACACCAATAACACTACGGTGTAACCTCAAATAATACTATAATAACACACACTAGTGTTCGCTTAACGGAACAGAACGTGGCTATCTTCTCAAACGAAGCCTTAATCTCATGATAAGGACCATTCAAGGCGCATAGCCAGAACAATCCATATTGTGATAAAAGGCTTTTCTTGATAGTATATTATATCTTGACTAGCATAAAATTTTAAAGCTAAGAATATCCAATCATGATGAGTACATGTCATGCACAACAACTCTATAAGTGCATGTACATATATGATAAGTAAACAAAGTTCGCCAATAACAACAAGTAGGAGACAACCAATGGTAATATTATATAAATTTAAAATTCATATACTATTAATAATTTATTATAAAATTATACTATATGAATTTGTTACGAGTTTAATAATGGAGAAATTATTTCATACGGACACCGCATGAAGAGATGCATGCGGTGTCCAATCTCCACCGTCGATCACCGCAAGCAAAATTTTAAAAAAAAAAGTTAAAAGTGGAGCCCACTGAAATACATATTTGCGGTTATCGACGATAGAGATCGGGCACCGCATGCGGTGTATATATGCAATGTATGTATGAAATAATTTTTCGTAATAATGATATCATGATTTCATGGATTCTGCCCAAATATACATGAATTTTAAGCAACCCGGACATGTTAGATTTTACATCTGGTGATTTTTTTTTCCTGGTGCAGAAAGTAGAGCATTGATCTTGTCAGAAAAGTCAAAATTGAAGTTCTTCAATCAACTGCAACCTGAAGTTTTCAGTCTATCAAAAAGAAGAAATAATGCACAAATATAAAGAGCAAGCGAAGAAACTGATGTTAAATCTTCCAATAGTGAGGTTTCCGCCCTGGTCAAGGAATACCAATGACAGCATGTCAGCATGTAAGAGGAAGAAAATGCAATGCGACTGCAGCTTTTCACAGTATATATATATATATATATGCTTATAAAAAGACCGCTTATACATAGTTTTTTTTAGACATGAAAGCTATAAATAAAATGCTCTGCTTCAATGCATCAAATCAACTTCAACTTGTTTACAACTTTGCTTTAAAGAACATTATCAGACATCTGTTTGGCTATTATTTTCTTACGGCTTTCTAAAAGTTTTTATGGTAGAAATTTATTATAGCTGTAGAAAAGTAATTGGTCAATATTTTCAAGAAAAGAAAAATTATAATATTCTTAATAACATTCAAAAAAATTATTTTCACAATAAAATTTTTAAAAAATAATGGCTGCACCAAACATATCGTTCATCTTCCAGCAGAAGTTTACAGAACAATTCAAAATAACTTTTTGCAGATGAAACTCTCAGAAGTTATATAATCTATTTACTTTTAAAGAATAGGGACCAAACTATAAATTAAACCAAACTTCAAATACATAAAGAGTGTTGCCGCCTTGTTCAAAAGATAGTTGAACTACTACTTTCCATAAATGGGCAGGAAATGTGGAATCCCTGATTTGAACTACTACTTTCCATAAAGAGTGTTGCCGCCTTGTTCAAAAGATAGTTGCATGCCAAACTTCATAATGTGGAATCCCTGATTTGAACTACTACTTTCTATAAATGGGCAGGAAAGTGGCAAGTATTCCATCCTTTTATGGCAACATAAATTGAACTTCCTATCTTGAAGGGAAAAAAAATAATTGGCATTTTTTGTGTTTGGAAAAATAGATCTTCAAAGTCACCATTTTTTTAAAATCATTTTCCCCTTCCACAGGAAGTTCATTCTTCCTCGACCATCATACAAAGAACTTGAATCCAATAAAAGAAACACAATATATCAAAAGAAAGCTCCCAGTAGAATAAATGTATGCCAATCTTGAGATAGGACCAAAAAAATACTAATCAAATTAAACGAATCTTAATAAAAGAGAGAAATTTGAAGACCTTATTTGCATGAATTAGTGGGAATATGTGAGCGCATAAATTTCTGTGCAATAGTAAAAACATTAGTTCAGCATACCTCCGGTTGCTAAATCAGTGTCTTTACATATTGGTCAATATTCATATTGAAAAGTTCGCACCTATTGAAAATGGACAAGAAGCAGAGAGAAATTATTAAACATAAGCACTAATGTGAAGCAGATATTTAATGCAGTTCATGAGAATCGAATGCTTGTATCATGTTCCAACATTATTTTGGAGAATTCCAACAAGTACCAATTAACAAAGTAACAAGCTCAGCAAAGTTAAGAGATGAATGAAGTGCATTAAAAGATTATTAAGTAGCATGTGAGTCCAATTTTCAAACCAAATAAAGCAATAACAGAGAGTGCACAGGTCAATATATTAGGCAATATATCAAGCACGATGACACTGTCTGGACTTGACACCAACAAATTCTTAGGTAATAGAATACTAAAATAGAAAAGGCCAATATGACTCGGAATATAATGGGAAGAATCCACAAGAGTTACTACTTATGGTTGATGTATTCAGGTGCAAATAAGTTTTGAAGGGTTGAGATTATTTTCCACCCTTAAAACCTGCGGATAAGTACATAGGCTTCCCAAATAATGGCCAAGCATGATAGGTCCAGTCTTCTCCAATGATTCCTATTCTCACCACATTTTGCTTTGCCACTGTAGCACCCACATGGTCCTCAGTAAAATAAAACTGAGCTTTTAAACATCAAGGCCTTTCTATATTCCTCTTCTGCCTGATCTACAGTATTAAGTGGTTGTTGACGAAGAAATGACTACCAATCAACAAACAAGCATAAGCTTCAAATTCGTCAAGAAATCACTAAGCACGAATTTAAGTCCAGCATTTGAATTTTACTCCTTATTTGAGTAATTTATGAGGTAAAACATATAGTTATTCAATAGTAAAATATATACTCAGCCACTGTTTTCTGCTTCACATATCTAAGTTCTTTAAACATTCTGATTTAATCTATCAGTCCCTATAAGCTTTTTCTGCTTTGGTCTAGGTCAAGCAAAAACTGTAAAAGAAGGTGCTGCTGTCCAAAAGCTTGAGATTCAAAAATTAGACCTAAGCTTTGGTTTTTCATTAACAGTTGCTTGATCAAGAGCCAAGAAAATGAGCGGAAGCCTTTAATAGGTGCTAAAGCTCAGTTCTCCCCGAACAAAGAATCATCAAACTAATGATCTTCTATATGAATACAATAGAATTTTCAACTTTGAAATCAATCTACCGATATAAAGATTTGATTATCAAAGCAATCAGCAGCGTTATTAGACCATCTAATTCTATGCCTCAACAAATAGAATATAGATATATATTTACGTAAATGCCTATATGCAAAATGATTTTATTCGTGCTGAAAAGTACTTCAATATATTTAAAATTCATGTTTCTTCCAGCAATTAAAATTGTTAAACAAATATGTGCCCATGCAGCACTGCTGCGTTACATAATATAAGTTATCTATTTATGCAAATCATGCACTGTCAATTCCATCATCTTTAATGCAAATGTGTACTAGGAACAGCTGTGAAACGTGAGGAAGAATCTCACTTATAACACGATTCACCCTCCAACACCCTATGATTCAATCACCCTCTAAAACAACAGTCTATCCAGCAACCAGTACGAATATTTACAACTAACTGCAAGTGGCATCCATGAGGTTCTGAGTTATAAAAGGAGAGAAGTTCATACCGCGATCCATGGAAAATCATGTTCAAGCCGCACCATTCCCAAATATAAGTTCAAATAATTCCAACAGAACCTTAAACTGCGATTTTGCATACAGTACTAACTCCATTGGCGCCCTTTCTCAACCCATCCCTTTGAAAGCCTTCATCCTAATTTAACAATGAGACGCCCAAATCTCAAAAGCAATCAGTGGTAGTAATATATGTCAGGCTTAGCGAAAAGACAAATATCTTTTGATCGAATTCAAAGCATGAACCAGCATCAGGCACCTGACTTGATCAGAATAACCTAACAGCATGCTGTCGGCGGCTAAAAAGTTTAGTTGGTTAAAGTTTGTGGGTTGCTCGTAAGAAGCTGTCGATCGCTGGAAGTGAAATCCCGTCGCCCGCTTCGGAAGGACGTTTTAATTTACATATATATATATATAATTTTAGAAAAATATGAAATCAAATTGATCTCATATTTTTCGCAGTTTAAATGAAAAAGCGCTCTACCTCAAATCTTGTATCTATCCCAAGGAATAAACACAAGACTTGAGGATGAGACTCGATCAAATAAACTAAGATATATATGACATCCGTTTGGTCTGCGAAACCGTTTTATTTGCCGACAAGTTCCCCTATTTAATACAAAGAATTAAATAGGGTTTATTTTATGTTGGATTCGGAAAAGCTTCCTATAAGGGCAAACCTCTATAGTTAATTACATCTTAAATGACCGAAGTCACCTAAGAAAACTCTCGATAAAAATCAGGGAATATTATCTTCAAAGAGATCAAAAGGATAGAACTTTTCAACGAAAGAGAAGAAATTATTAAAGTGTTTCATCCTGTCAATTTTATTTAATTAGAGCTTATATTTGCGTGGCATTGCCACACAAATCGCCTGGAAGATATGAGGGTTTACGTCATATCGGACGACAACCTCGAAACCTAGAACGAGTTAGGGCTTAAATCGTACAGCAGAGCTATACGAATGCCTAAGGAAAATGTGGAGGATTTATTTTGCGCTAGACAAACAACCTCGAAATCCTATGGATTGTTATTTAATTTCTAGGAAATGAATGGTTTCGCTGGGAAGACAGATTATGCTGTTGAAGATGGTCCTGTGGAGGATTTATTTTGCGCTAGGCAAACAACCTCGAAATCCTATGGATTGTTATTTAATTTCTAGGAAATGAATGGTTTCGCTGGGGAAGACAGATTATGCTGTTAAAGATGGTCCTGCTGCCCACTGCGCTAGCTCCAAGCTCCTCGACGTGACGAGTTTAAGTTTTCTAGAGTGTTCAGTTATAGTGTTAAATCAAACAGCCCTATGGTTGTAGTCCTCTAAACATCCTATGAAGTTATATAATATAAAGTGTGCAATACAGACTTAAACAATAGAATGCACATGGAACAGTAACAGGTAGAAACAAAAACAATATAACATGCTATACGAAAAGAACAGTAGCAAGTAGAAACATGAATAATATAACATGATGTACGGTACGGTAGCAGGTAGGAACAAAAATGATATAACATGCTGTATAAGAAGAGCAGTAGCAGGTAGAAACAAGAAAATTAATTGTTGTAAAATGTAAAGCAAACCTGTACGCCCGTGAGATCCGCTGTTCCTT